TTGCTCTTTAAATTTGATTTTGCACAATAATCCTCATTTCATTGTAATGTTATGCAATTGTAACATGAGATATGATATGCACAATAATAATTACAATCATTTGTGCTCTTATTTTGAAAAGTAAAAGTATTTCGTTATGACAGGTTGGCTCAGGAAGCGATATAGTGTCAGACGCCTTGACTGTTACTGAATGGTTTTTGCTTCTTTGTTCATAAAAAAAAAGTAACCATTCTAAATATTCAGGAAAGGTTCATTTCTGTCCTGTGAATTTTTAAAAATCTTTTATCGTAAACTTTTTTAGAATCGATACATACTTAAATCTAGTTTTGATATTAGTTTCAGTATGGATTCGTGTTTGATTTTTGGTACTTTTGATTAGGAGTGTGCAAAAATATCATATCATTTAATGTGATGATACAGTATTGATATTGTGGACTGTTTTACCAATAGAACGCCAAGAGTACTGGTATATTTTACTAAATTATTTTGTTGCAGCGCTACAGTTTTGTTGCCTGTTCAGAGGAAGGAAACTCATTTAAGCTGCATATTTGACATTTTCACTGTTTTGATGATTAAAATGGGTGTTTCTCATATGAACTTTGCACAAGAAGTGGTTTAACAAAGACTTTTAGTATCACAGCCACGATTTCTTTTATTGAACCATATTGAATCGACTTGAAATATATCGCCTATGCATCAAGGTATGTATCATATCGGCAACTTGTTAATGATACCCGGCCCTACTTTTGATACTTTCCCTATACTGGACTACTCTGTGTCATATTTAATGAATTTGGTGTTAATAAAAGATTTGAATATTGAGCAGAATAGCAATATACTCTCTTTTCAATGTTTTGGTCATCCTTTGAAAGCACTAAATCTCTTAAAATCTTAGTCATAACGTCCTTCATCCTCCTCTGCATAGTGAATTCATGTATTCTCTCATTCATATGCATGATTCACTCTAGTTATGTCTCAAGAGAAAAGCAGCCTCTTCTCTTCAGAACAGTTGTGCATCTGAAGGTGGAGGAGTGTCTGGTACATGGCATTGAAAACATGGCGAGATAAAACAACTATGTATCAACAGTTCGCTTTTTGTGTGAGGTCCAGATACTTTTTCTTTGGTAAAATGAATCATGTTTTGGTTTATCACAAGTTTATCACATTTCTGATGAAGTGAAAATGGATACAAGTAACAGCGTCACCATTTGCACAGAAGGAGCAGAAGTTGAGTTAGAATCATTCACCAGAAAAATTGTCCGTTTCATCTACGCTAATGCTCAGGCCACAACAGACAATTTGACCAATCACGGATTTTTTCTTTTTGTTTGTTTTAAAGCTAGAGTATGAAACAAAACCAAAAATAAACAGGTAATTTCTTTTTTTTTTTTTTTGGTTCAACTAAAAACACGCACCCTTACTCTGAACTAGCTTGCATCTTCACAGACCTGACTCATGTTTGTTGATCGTTTCCATGGATATGTTGTTCCCTTGGCTATATTATATTAGCCAGGCTGGCGCTACCTAGTGCGTCCTCTCAATTTCATTTCTCTCCAGCGAATCAGGAATCGGAACTCACTAGACGGTTTGCAAGAACCCTTAAAGTGCGAGTTCGGGCACCAGCCAATCAGCAAAGAGCCATACATTCTGTGCTGGTAATGATTCCAAAGATCGAGGATTTAGCTGGAACAAAGAGAATGTTTGGTGAATTTTATCAAGGGGAAAGACGTTATTGCCCTTCTTCCTACAGGATCTGGGAAAAGCTTAATATACCAGTTAGCTCTCGCATTACATACGGCACGACCAAATAGCAGCGATTGGTTAAATAAAAAAGTACCTGCCTACCATTGAGCAAACAAATCCTAATACTGTGAGGTCAGACGGTTTCCCCAAAGTGAAACCGGCTGATGAATCACGCTAATATTATATTCCACATTGGCCTAAAATATATCTTATCTCCCTGGAGAATGTTCCACAGTGTGGTTTTAACTTTCTATTTGCATGGAATTATGCAGATGATATATACCTCCAAAAAGTTGCACGTTGTCTCTTTAAATTGTTATTACTATTTTATTAAAGGTGCACTCTGTAACATTTTGGTTAGGGGTCCTTCACCTGCTTGTTTCTATGGATATGTCCCTGCTCTGCCTTGAATGTTCCACAGTATAACTTTAATCACAGCTGCCTTACATGTATTTAATTACAGATGGTTTTATAGCTCAAAAATACCTAGAAAAACAACATTCTGACTGTGAGCAGGGTCGCCTCTCCGTAGATCTGACCTGTAACTTGGTCTGGTTTGGTTTTCATGAAGATAGTAAGGTTTAATACCATACTGTGAAGCATTAAAGTAGGGATGGGCATTCGATGAAATTTTCTTAATCGATCGTCAAGAGAATTAACGATCGATTATTGATTAATCATTAACGTTTTTATATTAAAATGATCATCATTATTATTACTATCTGCACTACTAATCTGCATAAATAAATTAAACTTTACGACATATAAACCGTAACGACACTAGAGCCACATCAGCCCGTTTATTATAATGTGTTTAATTCAGTTTTGCGCAACTCTCACAGAAATGAAACTTAAAACTTAAAATAAACTAAGAGAAGATAAAACTACAGCTCTTGTGTCGCTGATGCGGTTCAATTTCTGTCGGATTAAAAGACATGACTTAGTGGAATACAGGTTAGTGTGACCATATTTGCGTTTGTCAAAACCAGGACACCGTACGGGGGGTGGGAGGTGGAGACTCGTCATCCACATTGTGCGACTCTCACCTGGCAAATCTTTTTCCCACTGGACACCAAAACATATGTGCTGCTTTGTACACTGTGCACACGGCCTCCCACTTGTCCCGACCGGAACGGAAAGTGTGGAATTTCTTGTACAAATCATCGTTAAATACGCATTTGTGCTTCGGTACGTTGCAGGCGGACTGTCTTTCTGTTTGCTCGCTCCTTCTGAGTGCGGAGAGCTACATGTACGGACCCCTGTTTGGTCACACTACACACAGCAACGTACATTCGGTTTGTCGATTAAAATGAACGTAATCGATGAAATTCTATGATGAATATCGATTAATCGACTAATCATGCCCATCCCTACATTCCAGATAAGCATGAAGAAAAGAATTGGACGAGCACACCTCTGAAATGCACATATGACTATTGTAGTGTGTTAATGAAAGGAATCTGACTGGGGAGTGCATGTGAATGAGTAGTGACATAGAGATAAGACAACAGTTCCTCCAGGGTTGAGTTGTGTGTGGTGTGCAGTTAGCCTTCTTTGGACCTCCGCTGTACCTGCTCAGTCTCTGGTGTTTTATCAGACACTTGTTCTCTGTGTGGGTGTTTGTTGACACAGCTTAAGTTCATCCCCTCTGGATAAAACTATCAACGGCAGCGTTCCAGAGCTTTACGGGTCTGATATAGGCCCTAGAGCGTAGTTTTTAATAGATGTGCAGAATGACATATAACTTTGAATTTAGCTGAAGTTATCCTTTTTATGTCTCAAAGAATAGAATACAGATTTGTTTCTTATTGTATTGTGGATATGAAATCATAGCCTGATTCACCAGCCGGTTTCACTTCGTGGAAACCGTCTGACCTCGCAGCATTAGAATTTGTTCGCTTGATGGTAGGCAGGTACTTTTTTTCAGTTTAAAATTTTTCACCAAACATTCTCTTTGTTCCGGCTTTAAATCCTCGATCTTGGGAATCGTTGACAAAACAGAATGTCTGGCTCTTAGTGGTTTTGGTTTTTACGAACTGTCTAGTTTATTCCGATTCCTGACCTAGTCGCTGGAGAGAAATGAAATTGAGCGGAGGCACTAGGCTAATGAAATGTGTGAGAGTTTGTGCATAAATTCTATGTTTTGGTGAAAAAAAGATGAAAATAATATGAATTGTAAATAAAAACTAATCCCTTGTATCCAACCACAAGGTATGAAACAAAAGTATTACGTTTGGCAACATCCTTAGAGAGGGGGGTACCTTCTTTTTACGTTGTTAAAAAGTTGTTCCCTCAACGTAAACATCCCTGAAGAGGTTTCATATGTCGTCTATGCATGTTTGAGAAATCTAACGATCTCTCCTGGGTCCTATTTGAAACCTGTATACCTTTAGCAGTACTATTCTTTCCGATGCTCAGCCCACAAGCCTACGTCACCCATATTCCTGCACTACAACTTCACAAACCTGGTGAGACGTGCGGTAGTTTCATAAGCGAAATGCACGCTGATTGTGTTGTGATAGTGCTCTGAAGGGGGGGTGACTTAACACAGAAAGCAAAGGGAGTGAGGTCTTAGAGTGTCAAAAATTAAAACTTATTAAACATAGTGTGTGTTGTTTTTGGTGAATATAACATTTTCAAAACAATAAAAGGTAACACAGTGTTCTAAATATGGTATGTGTTAGTCGTGAGTACCCCAAAGTAATAGTAGTATCTCAAGTGTAATAATACCCCCTCTTTGATGAAGGTCACTGATTTGATTTTGTGCACTGGGCTCCAGTTCGTAATTATTTCAAACTAATGTTCTGGAAAATTTGACTTCACTTCACATTTTCCAACCCCAACTTACTTCTCTGTTAATCGTTCACTCGTTTACGCAACAAGGAAAAGTTCAAATACTATCAACCCCTCCGTGACCTCTTTTGGATTTAAAGCAGCCGTTTGTGCTTCATTAAGGTCGTACAGTTAATGGGAATGAGACACAGCCGTTATTATCGCTTGTGCGTTTTCTCAGTTATAGCGGTATGCTTTTTGTTTAGCAGAAGCGCCACAGACAAATCCGATCTGACGTCCGCCTTCGGTGACATCTCTCAGGACTGTCCTTTGAAGTAACAGGCTTCGCTATATGCTGCGTCTTCACAAAGTGTTCCTCCTTTTAAAGAGTAATTGTACTGCACTTGTTGACTGTGTTGTTAATGGCGTGTGTAACATCTTGTGTTCAATCTAAGCATGTGTCCTCTGTGTCCTTGCCTTTGCAGATGCCAGGCCTCTGGTCCAGCAGCCCTGTGTGTCTGACAGTCATCTGCTTCTTGTCCTGGTCTCTGGCTCCCAGTCGTGCTCAGAATGGAAAAGATGAAGGTAATGCATGCTGTACTGTACTTCAACAATATATGAGGATATTTATGTCAAAAGTCCATATATTACTCTATTTTCTGATCTATGTTATAATGTTGTTTCCTCATCACAAATTTACTTGTAGTTGTGTTTTTTCATTCATAAACCCTCCACTTGTTACACCTTGTGATGTCATGTGGTAATACAGGAAGTGCTCCACTATGTTTGTAAACTCTACACACCTTTACTAGAATCATTTGGATATCAGCCCTGGAATTACCAATCTCTACTGAACAAAAAGTAAAATGTAGTTGTTAACTCGAAAACTACCACATCATGACATCGCAAGGTGGAATTGAATATTTTGAGTTTTGGAGATGTGGACAGACAAAAGTGTGGATGAAACAAAACACAACTCCAGGTATGTTTTTGGTGAAGTAACAACATTCTAACACAGTTTAAAGCTCAGTAGAGTCAATTTTGCGTAATTTTGGACCTGATTTATCACCCGGTTTCACTTCTTGGAAACTGTCTGACCTCGCAGTATTAGGATTCATTCTCTCGACGGTAGGTGGGTACTTTTTAGAAATTTAACCAATCGCTGCTATTTGGTCGTATTATTTGGTATATTAAGCTTTTCCCAAATCCCATACAAAGAAGAGCAATAACATCTTTCTCCTTGATAAAATTGATAAAAAACATTCACTTTGTTCAAAGCTTTAAATCCTCGATATCGTTGCCATCACAGAATGTATGGCTCTTTGCTGATTGGCTGGTGCCCAGACTCGCACTTCCTGGGCTTTTGTGAACCGTCTAGTGTCTCCTGATCTAGTCGCTGGAGAGAAATGAAATTGAGCAGAGGCACTAGGTGGCGCCAGCCTGGCTATAACTTAGCATTGTTGTTACAATTTGCTGAATTTTAATTTTTTAGCCTGAAAGGTAAGGGACATCGTGTAATAATGTTCCATACTGTATTTACAAGTGCTGTCAAATCAAACCATTTAAAAATCAGATGAATCGCACTTTTTGACATGTTATTAATTGCAACTGATCACAGCTCCCAGTAAGCCTTGCTATAATTTATTGAAGCTTGTCCTTGCCGCCAGATGGACAAAGAAACAAAAAAACCCAAATGTCTTCCAAGAATGACAGGTGATCACAAGGCCACAACAGAAGACGTTTGTCAGTAGTCAGTCCAATGATCAGGCATCTCCAGTAGCCCAGGTCCAAACACCAAAGATCAAGTACATCCATCTGTGGAGATCACAACAAACAAATCGGAAGGGGAAAGTTCCACAAATGTCACTGCGGAGACATCTGGATTTCCAAGTGAGATGTAAACAAAAATAAAAATGTAACATGAGAAGGAAACGAGCTTATCTCATCCAACAAGAGTCAATGTGATCAATGACGAGGAACCTCCAAAATCAACAGCAATGAACATCTGAAAACCAAGTGTTCGCTTTTATCGTGAAATCCCAGATTAACCATCACAAGGACTTTCATCTCACCCAACAAACAAAGCACAAGAATAACTCAGTGCGGGGGATTTCTTGTTTGACATGTCGGATGCTGAACCTTAAGATGATGGAATCAATTTTGGGCAACTCAACTTAGATCAAGTCCAGGGCCTTCTTGCTAACATGGTAACAAGTTGAGGCAGCTATAGTGAAGGCCATGTGTCTGCAGAAATGCACAGCTTCTAGTGATGATTTTGGGGCTTTGAAAACAATGAAGAGTCTCTTCACCGGGTTAAATATGAGATTTTGTGAAACCTGGGTGAAGGAATCAAATTAATATATGCACTTGGTAAATGGTACATATTTCATTTCATAAAACAGTCAACAAGTTACAACTAGGTGTCATTCCCCAAAATCAGTGCCCTTTGTAACCATAAAATATATATAATTGTATATTTTTTATGTGAATTATTTCATATTTTTTAGACAGTTCATTATATACAATAATTTTACTGAAATAATATTTAAGCAATTAAAAAGTTGACCATGTCTCTAGACATCTTTAGCAAGATCATTTTTTGGCAGGGCCTTAAAGGTGCACTCTTAACTTTTTGGGTGGAAGTTTGTCACCTGCTTGTTTCTATGGATATATCGTTGCTCTGCCTTGAAACGCCTCTCCACAGATCTGATCTGTAACTTGGATGGTTTGGTTTCCATCAAGATAGAAAGGTTTAATTTAATACCATACTGTGAAACATTCCAGACAAAGCAATAACATCTCCATGGAGAAAAGTATTTGACGGACCCTCCACCCTCATATTGCTCCTAAAGGTTAGCCGGGGGTTACTGGGGCTAACTGGTATATTAAGCTTTTCCCAAATCCCGTAGGAAGAAGTGCAATAAGGTCTTTCCCTTTGATAAAATTCACCAAACATTCTCTTCATTCTGGCTTTAAATCCTCGATCTCGAAAATCGTTGCCAACACAGTATGTATGGCTTTTCGCTGATTGGCTGGTGTACGAACTCGCACTGATTCCTGACCTCGTCGTTGGAGAGAAATTAAATTGAGCAGAGGCACTACGTGGCACCAGCCTGGCTAATGAAATTTAATGTTATTGTTTAAAAAGCTTTCACTCATAAAAGTAATTTATTTTATTCAACATTTTTCGTTGTATACCTATATCTACTTTTTTTGTCATTCCTGTACCATCACTCAAAATCCCCCCCATAAATTACAACAAAGATTTTCATTGCTCTTTTAGGAAACTTTCTTTTTCCTAATAAAAATTCACAACAGCCAGATTTACCTGACTCCCCAATGCAAACTCACATTCACTTAAACTCCCACACATCATCCTCCCTTCGTACTCTTTACAAACCACAGCTTGGTCCACAGCAGACATACATCTCTTTCGTGCACTGGGTTTCTCGGTTCTTTTGACTTATCTCCTCTTCCAAGTTCTAAATTTATCCAACTTCTGAACTTCTGAAGCGAAAGAACCGAACATGGCGCAGGATTTTTCCATTATCCAGTCTTCTACACACCATAAAACGCTGACTTATTCTTTCCAAGCAGAGAGCCTATATTCTTGTTCAAACTTGTTCTTTTTTTTTTTTTTGTCCCTCGACTTCTCAGCTCTGCATTTGCTCACAAGCCAGGACTTAAGTGCTACAGGGCCCCTCATGTAATAAAAAAAAAGCATCTACACTACTTACTTGACATCTTTATTTCCTCACTCCCTAAATTACAATACGGCTTCCCTGCAGGTAAGTCTATCATGAGTTTTCCATCTATGCAAGCTTAGCGTCAGCCTGTATGCTCTTTTTTATATTGTTTGGAAAAGACTAGAGTTTCGACCAGCTTGCAGTTTTTACCGTCAAGATTCGGTGTCAGGAGAAATGTATAGCTACGAATGTGAGTTAGCATTAGCATGTGCGTATTATTTACTATGGGCGTGCTCGGCTGTGTGTGCGATGTGTCTAGGCCCAAGGGTGTAAACCAGATATGTGTGGAACGTTGTGGGTTTTTGGGGAGAATTATGTTCCCCATTGCCAATAAAACATGAATACACGCATTGAGGCTGGCCAACTTTGAACAGTGCAGAGACAAAAATGGGTTGAAATATTAGAGCATTAATGTTTCATAATTTTGAGTTATGTACTAGTGTTGTGTGTTCGTAAAAGTTGGACTGCTGAAGTTACATAGTGAACTTTTAAGTACTTTAAAAAAAAAAAAAGGAATCTGATGTTAGGCACATAGTTTAAAAAAAAAGCAATAATTTATTGAAAGGGACAGTGCATATTAAAAGACAGTATAATGCAAAAGAAAGAAAAAACATATACTTGTAAATATGCAGGATTGTAACCAAATATAATTTCCATCCAAGACAAGCCACATAACCCACACAATTTATCAAACATGATAAAAGTATTATTGTAATAACAGCTTCTACACACATCTCTCACTCATAAACTCTAAAATGTGATCAAATAAAATAATGATAGAACACAATAAACATGAAAGTAATATTATATATATATATATATATATATATATATATATATATATATATATATATATATATATATATATATATATATATATATATATATATATATATATATATATATATATATATATATATATATATATATATATATATATATATATATACATGGTGATGGCGAACCAACCAGACATAGTGGTGGTGGATAAGAAACAGAGCAGAGCCGTGGTGGTGGACATCGCAATACCAAGCGATGTTAATATCAGGAAAAAGGAACACGAGAAGCTAGAGAAATACCAGGGGCTCAAGGAAGAGCTGGAGAGAGCCTGGAAAGTGAAGGCATCAGTGGTGCCTGTGGTGATTGGAGCACTCGGGGCTGTAACCCCCAAACTGGGAGAGTGGCTTCAACAGATACCGGGAAAAACAATGGACATCTCAGTCCAGAAAAGTGCAGTACTGGGAACAGCAAAGATACTGCGCAGAACTCTCAAGCTCCCAGGCCTCTGGTAGAGGACCCGAGCTGAATGAGGGTGAGAGAGACCTACCACCGTGGAAGGTGAGAAACACATTTTTTATTTTTTTATTTTTATATATAATTTTTTTTCAGTATCTTGTCTTTAGTTTTCTAGACCTCGGGATTGTTAGTCAGACTGGTGCCACCTAGTGCCGCCAATTTCATTTCTTTCCAGCAACTAGGTCAGGAATCGGAATAAACTAGATGGTTTGCAAAACCCCCGGAAGTGTGAGTTCGGGCACCAGCCAATCAGTGAAGAGCCATATATTCTGTGTTGGCAATGATTCTCGAGATCGAGGATTTAAAGCCGGAACAAAGAGAATGTTTGGTGAATTTTATCAAGGGGAGAGATGTTATTTCCCTTTGTGAAAAGCTTAATATACCAGTTAGTCCTGATAGCGGCGCATTACATACGTCACGACCAAATAGCAGTGATTGGTTAAAAATAAAAAAGTCACCTCCTACTGTTGAGCGTACAAATTCTAACGCTGCAGTCAGAGTGAAACCGGCTGATGAATCAGACTATGGGATTGTGGCATGCCT